ATGATGATGATGATGATGATGATGATGATGATGATGATGGTGATGGTGATGAGCCACACGTGCAAGAAACACGCGACCTAGGAGCCAACTAACTCTCATTTGTTGTTAGAATGAGGTCGGACCTGTCGACGATAACCTGGAAGGCAAGGAGTACTTCATTGAGCGCATGAAGCAGCGAAGCAAGAATGTTTTAATGCAGAGAACCCTTGCTGCTAAGGTTTGGTAGAAACCCCTGTTGCCGTTGCTGCTTCTTCGATTCTTCTCCTTCATCTGTGATATAGTTACGTCTCCTCAACGTTAAACACCGACCGGATCACGTGAGACATAGACTTCTTACTGTATTCTTATACCGAACGCTCTCGGTATATTTAAAGCAGAAAGTGTAGAGGGGATGTATCGTAAGGAAAAGCACATAACACAGCTGATCGTGACGATTGCGAGAAATGTACTTTTTTTCCTTATGATACTTTTTTATTCCTATCAGAGAATTAGCAGTAAACGAGTAAAACACAAAATAGTAATTGTCATGAAAAGTTGTGATCGATTAGCACAATCGTTCATGAATATTTAGAGAGTAAATATTCGTGGTAATAATATACATATAAACGTGCGTTTCTCGCTAATTCAGTAACACATTTATATCGCGAACTTAACAAATATTCACAAGTTTATGGCGCTCCTCTCCATTTTTTTTTTTTTAAATCGCTAACAAAAAAATTTTTAGACATCTTTCGACATTAGTACTTATTTTCGTGTCGTAATATTTTTTCCTATTGCAACTGAAACTGTTGTTCATAAGTATTAAGGAAGAAATTAAAAAAAAAAAGCTTATGTTGTATTTTCGAAGGGAAGTATTTGGTCGCTGTATCTGAGTGTATGCGAGTGGCTTCTCATTATCATTCATTGTCATGATTGAAGAATCTTAAGAAAAAAAGGAAAAAAAAAAAACAAGAAAAAAGGAAATGATTCACTTCCGGTCCGAAATGTTTCCCCGTATTGATTTATCGCAACTTTCGAGATAATTGTACCTCTCGTTTCGAACTTTCGTGCGTTTTATGAGAAGATAAAGCTGTAATCATTTCACGGATATCGTCGATTCTGGTGAAAAAGTGAATCGTTGAATCGCAAATCGCCAACGCGAAGAAGAGACTCTCTTAGTAAGGAACATAGTTTTTTCCCCTCACGTCGAAGCATCCTTGAATTAATATTATTCATGATTGCTTTATTTCGCAACACACGTTATCACAGGCCCCCTCTTTATTACGAAAAAAAAACAAAAAAAAAAAATACTTATTTTAAGGTATCATACAAGTAATTTACCTAGTAAGACACTTATATATGTTGTATGTAAACGAGTTGCTGTACAATTAAAAGAAGATCCGCAAATACATAACACGAAAATCTGGATGTCAGTGATTATTCTTCGATGCCTGCTTTTCTTTTTTTTTTTTTTTTTTTTTCAATTTACGTCAGCGCACGTGACTTCCCCACGTTCGAGTTAGTAACACGAAACTGTGGGAGTCGGTGACTCGTTCGACACCTATTTGAAAATTACGCCCGCATCAAGCTACATCAGCTAACAACTTGGTTTCATTTCTTTATCTACGCCGATGCGCCACTTACCTCGTTCGGAGTGCGTTGCTTTATTTCGCGCGATTAAAACTGGTTCTCTTGTTGATAGTAGACGGATTTGGCTATCGCTATGTCGCACTCGCCAACGGGTATTTAAACTTGCAGCCGTGAAAGTTACGTGCATTTCTTCGTTGCCACTGCGAGGAAAATGAAGCATTTACCGGTGCGTTTCGTTTTGCTTGTTTCGAATCTATTTCTGCTCGACTACTCGGCCATGGTAACAGGAACGATACTCTTTAGTAAGTAACACTTTTCTATCCTTTTCAATTCGCGGTTTTTCGATTAATTCAGGACTTCTTTAATTTAGAGATAGACCGAGATAACGTTGAAGAATTTAGAATTTTTTCTCAACGAAGTAGAGTCATTTTCTGTGATTTTTTAAGGACCCGAGCAGCTCCTCGTCGATGACATCTGCGGGGAGAACGAAATTTTCAGTTACTGTTACGCGAACCCGAGTTGCGAAAAGAGTTGCGATAACATCGATGTCTGGGAGTCGGTGCCTTGCATCCGGACGAAAAATTGCTTGAGTGGTTGCATCTGCGAGCAGGGATACGTGCGCGACAAGAGTCAAGGAATTTGCATTTTGGAGAACATGTGCCCCAGAATCAGGCATTGATCTCAGACGAAGCCCATGGTTCGTGGCCATTTGATTTAGTCGAGATATGTCGATTAATATATTCACACATATTAGAAGATATTAGAAAAAAAAGTATCAAAAACTAATTGTATATTCCTTTCTCCTTCTGTTCGTTGCTACTTTTAACTTGTTTATATGAATAACACACGTATGAAAGAATTGTGTTTTCGAAGAAAGTAACTTGTATTCCAATCCCGAGACGATTTTTCACAGCGGCGTGAATAAGAGATGCGTAGACGCATTTTGATGGAAGCTGGTGGGGGAATGTGGCGGCGCGCGATATGATAGCATTTTGAGATGGTTCAGTTCCGCGCCGTCTCACGTGCGCGACACATTTCAATAAACGTGAAATCGTCGGTGTGATAAATCTAGCGAAACGTATCCTCCAGTTAATTTTGTTTTCTCATCATCACCCACCCAGTGATACTTGCCAGCCCATTTGTTCATTTTACCATTTTGTTTAAAATTTTTGCTTTTTGCGAATACTTTTTTCTTTTCTTTTTATCGCGATTCGTTAGACGACAGTTAGAAATACAGTGTGAAATATAGTGTATCGAGTGCTTCTGGATATAATCACGGATACGAGAAACCAGCGGATCAGCCGTTTCACACGTAAGTTTCACGATTGAAATATGCGATATGGTATTTTTATTCGTGCTCTAGCGAGCAGTTGACGCGCGAAACGTTCGAAACGAGTCCTGCTCCTTATTAAAGTTCAATTACCAGCGTAGCGGTGACCGTGATTATTCTTGATCGAGCAGCCGAAAAAAAAAGAAGAAGGCTGCGGCTACCTCGATCGAGCATCCCCGTGGGTCCACGTCCATTGTGATTTTAATAAGCCTTATGCAAATTACAAATGAAATTGTCAGCGGCAGGCCCGCGGTCCATTCTTCGTCGTTGATGGGGACAATTAGAAGAGCTTTGTCCGGCGACCACGCGTTGTCCGGCTGCTCGGCAACTTGAGTCCCAACGAGAAGACCGCCCGCCAACCCCTAATGTTTGTATCCGGTCGCCAGGACGTTCACTTCCGAGTGATCCCGGAGTGTCTCCCCGCTTGCTGACCATCGACTTCTTCGGCTCTTTGCTACTAATCGACGCAGTTGAACCAGTGTGCAACCGTTGCGGAATATTTCGCGCAGTTGCTCGAAAGAACGGAACGCGGTTAAATTCTCATTCCGAGAAGATACGAAATTGCAACCAAATATTCCGTATTTAAAAAAATAATTTAATCAAACTTTATTTCGAGAAGCAAGAAAGAAGCTCTCCGAACGCAATTTTTCGAAAAACAAGGTACTTAAATTCCATTAAAAAAAAAAAAAAAAAA